TTTTCTTTTTTAAATTTTCACTTAGTTAAGAATTTTCTTAATTTTTAATTTCGTATCTCATCACAATCCAAATAAATTCTCAGTTTTTTGGTATGTTGTCTAGTTTCGTCTCCTCATAAATTTCTAATTGCTTAGGTTCACTGATCATAAATTTAGGTTCTGTTTTTCATTAAAAATTGGGTCAGTGTCCATTCAAATTTCAAAATTCATAATTTAATGAAATGATTATAATTTTCCAAATTTCAAACCCGGTTGAGATTTAGAAATACTTACACTTCTATACATCTTTCCAAATCCGCTTGAATGTCCAAATTTTCCTGTACCAATGACATAAATTAATTAAAATATTTCGAAATACTAAAAATTAGTTTAATTAAATTACAGGTTCCAATGACCACCAAACGAAATACCCAAAATTATCGGGATCCATATCTAGAAAATCTTTCAGCTTCTCATTTGGCGAATCGATTTTCGTTTTTCGAGAAAGAATTTTCAGCTTTTCGGACAGCAATTCAAACCCCAAAATGATGGATTGGGTTCCCATGCTCGGGGATCACCTTTCGGCTACCCCACACCCGAGGAAGGCCCCTCGATTCCTGAGCGAGTGAGTGGCTCGGCCAAGTCCGCACGGCCAGCCTGACACCAACCCTGTTCCACCACTGTCCAAACTATCACCTAAACCAAAGAAACAAACGATTTTACCTTTGTTGCGGTGGTTCAGTCTCGGCTTGGCTCTCGGTTGTCCCGCGACTCTCTAGCTCCTAAACTTAGCTCGGGTGCGGTGTTCGAAAAACCCAAACAGCCCTTGGGTTTTTGATTACGTCGTCATATGGTGTTCTTTGGTCGCGATTCCCTTTCTTCTTCTTCCTCTTCCACGATTCTCTCTCTTCTCCTCCTCCTTAAGCGATCGTTCTCGGCTTTCCTTATCTTCCCACTCGGCCACACTCTTTTTCTTCCCTTCCTCTCCTTTCTTCTCCCTTCCCCTCTTCCTTTACGACCTCTCTCTTCTTTTCCTCTCTCTTTTCTCCTTCTCGACTTTCCACGCGTGATAGTCTTCTTCCTCCTCTCTCCCCGATCGGCTCCTCTCTCTTTTTCGGCTACTCTTCAAAATGAAGAGAAAACTCTAATTTTCTCCCTTTTATACCCATTCGTCCCAACCATTAGATCTTCCTAACTCGATCTAGGCCGTCTATTTTCTTTTAAATCTCCTCCAGTGGTCCAATCTGAGCCGTCTATTTTTTTCATTTCCTTTACCCCATTCTACTTTCTCTTATTTATGTTTTTGCTCCCCTTTTTCTCACATGTTTTCATTTAAATCTTAATTTTAATTTTATTTTTTATTTATATTTTTTCTCTTTTTTTTTTTTCTTTAGGTGGATATTACAACAGAAATTATTAAAAGTAAAATATGTACATAAATATTAAAAATCTTATAATATAAGGTATTGGTAGCATATTATAGTTTGTTTTATTTTGGTTTTGCATATGTGAAGTAAGTAATTCTAACTTTTTAGCCGAAGTGTATATGATGAGTTTGCTTATCTCCAAGCTCATGCCCTTTGTAAGGTGCAAAATAAGAAGACATGAGAAATGGGAAGCCTTTCTTAACAAAAGGTTTTGGGCCCAATTCTCCAAATCATGTCATGCAATTTTTTCAGCCCATTTAATTATTTATTTTAGGGTTATTGGACTGCAAAATACAATTATTCAGTTAGGAGGTGTTTGGCTGTAATTTTTATGTTGTTAAAAATGAAATCTTTAAGATATATAAAGGCAGAAGCACATTTACATATTTTTTTGGTGTAATTTTTTTAAGATTATCCTCATATATATTTATTAATATTTAAGTTTTGAGATATTAATATTTTTAATATTTGAAATTTTAGTTTTATTAAATACTAAAATTTTATTAAAATTTGATAGTTTAATATGTAAATGTATGTAAGATTTTATTGTTTTAATATTAACATAGATACTTTATATTTTGTAAAATATATTTTTATCACAAAAATAAGTAATTGAATTCATAATTCTATACTTTTTCTTACTATTTTAATATATACAGTTAACTTTATCATACATAACAGTTTTTATTTTTTAATGATCAGTGAATACAATAAGTTCTCTTTTTCAAGAAAGTAATATTTTTAATAAATAAAATATAATTGTTGAGTAAACATAATTTTACTCCCCCACAGCATAAATTTGACTGACTCTTAATTACTTTGGAGAACTGAATTTCCTTGGATCAATGAATGAAATAATACATAATAATTAACATGGGCAAAAAAGTAATTTCATTAACTTGATTCTTCTTTCTCATAAAAAAAAAAAAATATGTCCTCTCACCACCAAATCATAGAGTGACAAATGGAGGCCTTCACTTCAAAGTAAGGAACTCTCTGTGAAGATCTAATCCACACACTTCCATACTCACTCTTTTTATTATTCTTCCAATTCTCCCTTCCGCTCCTCCAACCATCTTCTTCTTCTTCTTCTACGTCTTGTAAAATGGGCATCAAACTTTTCATGATCTCATTCATGTTAACCTCAATCATCTTCTCCTTCCTATACATCCTCCCAAACAAACTAACCTTACCAGTCACCAACCTCAACCCCATGATTACCTTAAACACCCTTCCCAAATCACCCAACACACCCTACAATGTCACCTTTGCATATCTCATCTCAGCATCCAAGGGAGAAACCCAGAAACTTAAACGCCTACTCAGGGCACTTTATCATCCGGGTAATCATTATTTGATTCACATCGACTCTGAAGCACCAGAGGTTGAGCAAAGAGACATTGCTGAGTTTGTGTACGGTGACCCAGTTTTTGGGCTGATGGGTAATGTCTTGATTGTTGGAAAACCAAACTTGGTGACTTACAGAGGACCCACTATGCTTGCTACTACCCTCCATGCTATCTCAATGCTTTTGAGGTGCTGTAACTGGGATTGGTTTATTAATCTCAGTGCATCTGATTACCCATTACTTACTCAAGATGGTATGGTGAGTCATGAGTGCCTTTTTTGGTTTCTCATTTTTCTTCTTAGCTTGTACTATCTTTCTTGCTTTGTTCATTATGAGAATTTTTTCTTCCTATGCGGTCAGATCTGATTCATGCTTTCTCTGATTTGCCGAAAGACCTCAATTTCATACAGCACTCCAGTCGATTGGGTTGGAAACTGTAAGTTCATTTTATTCTTTCCTCAGATTGTTCGATCAATCTCTGGGTATTCTAGTTTAAAAAAGTGAATCAAATTTATTTTCAGGAACAAGAGAGGGAAGCCAATTATAATAGACCCAGGTCTTTACAGCAAGAATAAGTCAGATATCTGGTGGGTCATTAAAGAGAGGAGTCTCCCTACTGCTTTCAAGCTTTATACAGGTTCTGCAAATACCTTTTCCTCTTATTGCCTTGCTTACTATATTTACATGGTACATTTCCTAAGTGGAACAAGCTCCATTCTCTCTGCTTTTCCTTTTTTTTTTTTTTTTTAAATAATTATCAATAGCATGTGAAGCTCTGGTAAAGTCATGAGACAACAAGCAATCACCCATATCTAAAGATACTCCTGTATGACATGGTTCATTCTTTAATGCATACAAAGCAGTAAAAAATTATTTCCTAGGACTTTGCTTACTGAGCCTCTTATTTGACTTTTTTGTTTCTTTCATATACTAGGATTATTATTTCATCTTTTTCTATATCGAGCCACTGCCGACACTAGCATGCAACTCTCGAACTTACTTCAAAGGCAAATTTCACAGAGGACAAGAACCTAAAGTGAAAATGCCAAAATCCTTTTCCTTCCAAACAGAAGTTTCTTTTTTCTTAATTTTTTGTACTTTAATAATTAGTTGATATCTACACATCAATAATAACACAATTAGTCTTTTTTAATAATTAACTAGCACTTTATACACCAATAATAATATAATTAACTTCCTAACAAAAGTATATACGAGATGTATATCGACTCAAATCTATACCCTGATGAAAAAGAGTAAAAATACCAACCAGGCAGTCAACATTCAAAAAGTTGAAGAAGGTTGGTCTAGTTAGAGTGTTTTGAGTATCATTTAGTTCCATTCAGTTTTTCTATAGGGTATTAATTATGGGTTTGCTTTAAATGGGAGATGGGTAATTGTCCCTAGCCTTAACTCAGAGCCTAGCATGTGCAAATCATATTTACAACCTTTACAAACTTTAACTATGCTGCTTCCCATAGAACAGGGAACTCATTATTTTCCCCTGGAGAAGACAAATAAAAATTACCATGATAAGAACTTAATTTGGGTTTCCCATTTTAGTTTTAGGGTTATTAAAGTGTCTTAATTTAAGCAGTGGGGTGTCCTTTTCCATTACCTTCCCTTCCATTTTTCCATTATGGTTGGTGTAGTTGTTGGTTGTTGCTATTCATGTGATCATGTTCATTAATGTCTATTTTAATGTATGGTGCAGAATCCCATCACTAATGTTTAGTTCTTTTTAATTAAAAAAAAAAAAATATAGATTAATTATAAGATAACACAAGTAACTTTTAAATGAATATGTATACATACCGATACATAATATAAATAATTTTTAAATCAAAACGAATATGAAAACATAATCCAATTCGAATTTCCGTGTAACGGCCCCGGAAATATTAAAATGAAATGAGTATTTAAATATATCAAATGCGGAAGCGAGATCAAAATTTCAGTTAACATCCCTTACACGAAAACTAAAAACGTACTTAAAATACAAAAGATTAAACTAACTAAAAGAGAAACTCGAAATTTAAGCTATGAGTATGACTACAGAGTCTCTAGGCATCCCTTTCATCGTCCTCCTGCGGAACGGGCTCGGGAACCATGTCTTCCTGATCTGAAATGGTTAAATAAGGAGTGAGCTACACTAACCCAGTAAGAACATCACGATATCTCACCGTCACGGAGGTAAAGGTGGGTAGAAAAACACAAAAACACCAATTGAGCATAATTTACAACAAATCCTTTTATTTATGATAAAACCTTTTACCTTCCACTTACCTCGGTGGAATTTATGAAACAATATAAGAAAAACAATAACATTATCATAATCATGGAATAATATAAG